AGAACAAAAGGACAGCAACTTGTCTGTTCCCCTTTCCCCAATTCCCCAGCACTGTTCCCATCCCCCAATTCCCCAATAAAAATCTTTAAAAAAAAACAACCAAAAACAAATTCTAGGATCAGACCACAAAACCAAACAGGATCGTGTTGGCAAAAAATTTAAAGATTAATAATATCAAGGATTGTCAAGGGTGTGGGGAATAATTCCCTTATACCCAACTGATGCTGAATTTTTGAAAGGCAATGTGGAAAAATCCTTCACAATTTTAAACATGCATATGCTATGACCTGCACTCTCACAACTAGAAATGTAGCCTACCAAAATATTAGAAGACATGTATAAAGATACATAGACAAGGATGTGCTTCACAGCATTCTTTCTGCTTTTAAAAAATGGAACAAGCTATGTATGGGTCTACGAAGAAAGAAGTGGATAAATTCTTATAATGCACTGGTCTTCCACTCATCTGTTTAAAGAATGGAAACTATAAATGATCACACATAAGTGAGTATGTATGTATGTGTGTGTATATGTAATGACTCCACTTCTATTTTTTTAATTATGTATATATATAGATAGATAGATAGATATAGATATAGATATATATGAAAATAATCTGGAAATACACTCAGTAATCTGTAAACAATGATTGCTTTTAGGAAGTGATACTAGAATTGGGGAAGTGTATTTCACTTTTTCTGTATACCCATCTATAATTTTTGAATTTGTTATAATAAGCATGTATTATTTTTATTATTTAAAATATATTTCAAACAGGTAAAAATTACTTGTTAAGAATTGTTTTTTTGGTGTTTTGTTTTTTTGTGTGGGTGTGTTTCCTTACATTAGTCCATTTAGTTATGTGTTTCAGGCTTATTCATTAGACATAGTACAATATATTCCAATTGATTAAATACGGGCTTTCTTAGAGAAAGCCTAAGCTAGCCTGGACCCTTTGAGATTAAATCCAGGTAACCATGATTGGCTCCTGAGGGCCTCAAAGGGGTCTTAATTTCAAGTTAGTACCAGGTCCTTGAAACTACATTTGTGTATTTTAGCTGCTGCCCTTTAAACAAGTGTTGTCTCTTATGAAGCATGTGGTGAACCAAACCCCAGATTTCTCTTTAATAAATTGCTGCTAAACCGGGTCACCCCCACTTCTGTACTTAATTTTTTTAATGTAAATGTAGATGTTTTTATTTAGTTCTGTTAAATCTCATCTTGTAGGTTTTATTACCTACCATCTGTTAACACAATTTCAGTCTGTTAACATAATTTTGGGTCTTGCTTTCTATTGTTCTAGATATTCCTCTAAATTTTACATTATCTAAACATTTAATCACCGTAGAAGTTATAAAATGTACAGACACGTCCTTCAGAAAGTATTCCTTTTAGCAGGAAATGACCAAAGTCTACTTAAACTTAAGCAAAAAGGAAATTTATCAGATGGAGACTGAAGTTCCTCATTGACCACAAGACAGGTGTGACTCTAAGCCTGAGAGAGAAAGGCAGGAAATTGGAAACTATTAAACCGGGGCAATACTCTTCCCCTCCCTTATCTCTGCCTCTTTATGCTCTTTCTCAATCCCCCCATACCCACCCCTCACTGTCTTAATGCTACCCTCACACCCAACCCCCCATCCCCCAGACTGGCCCTTCCTGGAGTGTGCACATAACCACAGACCCACCAAGTGGGGGCCAAGGTGAGAGTACCTGCTCCCCTCCCCCAGCTAGAAATCTTTTTCTTATTCTTTTTCTTTTAAGGAGGGTGCAGCTCACAGTGGCCCATGTGGGGATCGAACCGGCAACCTTGGTGTTATCAGCACCACGCTCTAACCACCTGAGTTAACTGGCCACCTCTTAGAACTCTTTACCTGGGATTTACATTCAGGCCTCCGGCCCTTCCCAGACCAACAATTCCATTTATCTCCACTGGCTTCGCTTCAACTTTATCCCCATTGGCCCTGAGAGCCATCCAGGTGCACAGAGTTAATACCTTCCCCTGGCCCTAGACCAAGGCCCAATATCTGTTTCCAGGAGGCAGCAATTTGTGTCCGGTGTCTACCCTGGTTCAATCAAATGTGGCCAAGGGGACAAATTCAAGTAGAAGGAACATCGCTTCCCAGAGCCATCCTCTATAGCTGGGTGAAATTCTCGGAGATATGGGTATAATACTGACAACTATTGGATGAGCAAATGCCCCAAATTTGTCTACTATAGAAATGTCAATGGATGCCAAGTCCAAATGTAAGCGATTATGGCTCAGGTTCAAAGTAGGGGAGATGGCTGTAGAGGTAAAGAATGGAGTATAATTTAGTGGTTAAACACATTGGCTTTGGAGTCAAGTTAGGGATTAAATACTATGCGTGCCATGAACTAGGTATTCTAATCTTCAGCAAGTTACTCGATCTCTTCATGTCTTAGTTTTCTCACCTATAAGGTGGCACAAATAATAGCCTTATTGGGTAGTTGTAGACATTAAATGAGATTATATATCAGGCTTCCTAGCACTTAGCAAGCATTTAACAAATGCCAACTATCATTATTAGCATTATTACATCATTACCGTTACCAATATGAAGAAGTAAATCTGTAATGGTGTAATGAAAGGCCACGGGTTTGACATAATACACGTTTCCACCATACCTTATTTTTGTGTACAATATATAGAATACATAGGATGAAATATAGGACATATAGGATAATATATATTAGGATATTTAGGATAATAAAAATATAACCTTCCTGTAACCAGGTACCTTGTGTGTTGGGACACTGCTTGTTACCTAGTCCTGTGAGCACCTAAAGGGTTGTACGAGGGGATGCTAAGCACACGGCTCTCTGGAAATGTCAGCCCTGTCACGTACTGGCATGAGGTAAAAACACTATGGAAAAACAGTCCTTCTGTTAAAAATAGAAATTTTGAAGGAAGCCAAATTAATACATGAAAAGTTACTGAATATCCAGTTCTTCTATAGGAAAAAGAAAAAGAAAAGCTTCTTCATTTCTGAAATGACAAGGGGAGTTGCTGATACCAAAAAAAAAAAAAAAAAAAAAAAAAAAAAAAAACCTCGCGACCAGGGGGGTTCAGAGAGAGACCTCCGGTTCCCAGGCACTTTGGGGGAGAGAAGGCTGAAACGATGCATCAGATTTACAGCTGC